GTGGACACAGAGGTTTTACCCCATAAAGCCTGGACGGAGCGTGAATTGCCGTCGGCAGGGATATCGACATTGGCGTTGGCTCCAGACTGATCGTTGGCTAGCTGGACAGTCACGGATTGGACGTTGACAGGATTAGCCATGACGCTAGTGGTGGCCAGAAGGCCGAAGGCAACTGGAATGAACCGCATTTTGGGAGTAGCGGATGGAAGGAAAGATGTAAGATGTGTCGAATTTGAATATAGTAGAAGAGTCTCGTTGAGGTTGAAGCTTGTATTGTTCGCGTCTTGTGGGTTTTGGGCATAGCTTCCAGCTGCTTATATACATTTCCATGTTGTATAGTCCTGGGGATAATTGAGTTTGGCTGCTGACATGATATCGGGTAGATTTTGTTAGTCGAGGTTGATCCATGGATCCTGCCCTGGAAATACGAACCCCCAGTCCAGCCCTCGCCGGATGCGGAAATTGCATCCTCTCGGCTTCGCCCGAACGGCTGGGCTACGGTCACCTACTATTCGTTACGGGCAGACGATCTCCCTTGCCGACCCGTGGATAATAAGCTCAGACCCGCATAGCTCTCGTCAGATGATGCATGATTCATATCTAGATCTGTTCATTGTTCAAGACACAGCAGTCTACCCAAAGATGTTGTTTCTAGCAAGGTTTGTTCTAGGTTGGCCTGGCCATACTACAAACCATGAAACACGCGAAATGGCCTCATTCAAGAAAGAAAAATACATCAAGAACTTGGCATCTGCGTCATGCTCGTGTATGGTGTTGTCACCTCGGCGTCAACCAGATCGTGGCAAACAATGGGGTTGTAAAGCTGTAACAATGATTTCAGGCTGTCGTTTGATGTTGATAGTCGCCCATGTAACCAGCAGATGTCATGTACCCGTAAGACCTAATGGCCTTGTTCATCTTCCACTCTTGATTGAAGGAAGCGAATATATCCGGCTCGGCGAGCTCCTAATAGATGTATACCCCACGGCAGTACTTCTCTCCTTGTTACCTGACCTCTTTCCATGCCGCCGTACCAGTCCTACCCCATCTAGATCTGGCTAGAAGGGCATACTACATGAATACCTCATAGCTTGGTGGCCAATCTTCCCGATACAACTACCAGTCCCATGATTCCAAAACCCAGGAAATGAGTGGCAAGCACCGTCCCGTATATCACCAACAAACTCAATGTCGAGCGTACCTCCAATAGCTCTGCACAATTGTGCTCGACCTAAGATGGCTTTCGCTTATAGATGCAACATAAATGGGACGTTACATTCGGACTCTCCGTCTATGGAATGGTAGAAGGAAGAGTCCGGCGCCACCCGCATCTCCCGATGAGAGTATTGACATTCGCGATCCATTGCTCAGATCTTTACCGCATACACGTCACCAGGTGTCTCTATTAACTTCTTAAGGCCCTCTATTTGGCCACTCGATTTTCGTGAGTGTGCCGCTGCCCACAAAAATGAAGATTGCCGTTTGACAAACCCTACTAGAATTGCAAGCTTCTCAAAGGCCTAATTCCAAGAAGGTAAGTTGATATGTACGATAACAGAAGCTGACAGGCCCTTGCCCTTCTTGAACTAGATGAAGCCATACACTTGCACCGAGCATGACCAGGACTTTTGGACCCAGGCCGATGTAAATGAACACTTACGAAAGCAGCATGCCAGCTTCATCAGACGACCTGCAAGTCTTGGTATTCCAGACAGTCATGGCCACCTCTGGTATTGTTTTGGTTGCGAAAGTCAGTTTAATGACCATCGAAGCTACGACTCAGATAAAGCAATGTTCGATCACCTGAGGCAGAGACATACAGACGTTGCAGATTCTATCAGACGCAGGTCACAGAGCAACTTCCTTGCATAATATGTTGCGATTATACGACGGATTATTCTTTTCTGAATGCCTTTTGCTGTTGAAGCATGCTTCTAAGTAGCTTTCGCGTATCACGCTGTGGCTTTAACTGCATAAAATAATTAATACGTTCTGTGATTTATAGAGAACCAATATTCGAATGCTTGCCGCAGGACAGATTATTGATTTTGTAACAGAGGACAGTGTATAACCTGTTGCCTGTTAAGACCCCGATCAGCAGAACACGACGGTTTTTGATGGCAAGAGGAGTGCCCTTCGCAGGGCTCCGGATGCCAACGTGATTAAAACAACGCAAGAATACATAGGTAACAAGAAGTTCAATTAAATCTATAAGGAACTATTCAAACTCTACGACAGCTTCTTAGATAGAAACCATAAAATGTCAGAAGGTCATAGAGGAAAAGTTGTTGATTAGTTCTATCTGCAAGGCTCAGGCAACGAGACTATCTAACAAAGCCGTCAATATGGATAAAATACTGTAGTAATAGTCCCATTCACAGCAAGCAATCCCCTTTCATCAATTCCCAACTTTAATCCTTTCGCGCCTCCGATAGCATAGCCACCCAGTGATGAGTGGCGATCTTTGACTGTTCAGTCTTCTCAAGCTTTTCATAACTCGAATAGAACTTGCACGAACCAAGTCCCATGCTAGTACCCTGACAACCTGGGGTTCCTGCACAAACTGCCAAACACCATGGCGGATAGCGGATAAAAGAACTGATTGGTATCTCTGTACCTCTAGCGTACTCCCTACAGCGGAAGTCAAAGGTATGTGAGCCAATAGTTAGCTGCTGGCCATCTGATTCAGGGCAACCACCAAAGACATCTCCTGCTATAAGACTAGGGATACTAAGTGCATTGGGACTGACGTTGTTCCCACGAGGCTGTACTGGAATCAAACTGAAATGCTGTTCAACAACGCCATTACCGCGTCCAATTTCGTATAAGGGAGGGAACTGGTAGTCTAGATGGATAGCCCAGAAACCATGGTTGTCGGAATATATGCCCTGGCACACCGGATCCAGAGAGCACGCCTTCATACCGATAACAAGGTCACGGATGTTAAGCTTTCCTCCATTAAAGTCTGTGTCAATATAGCGTCCCCGCGGCTTTTTCCAACAGAAGGCCTTGTATGTTATCCCATCGACGGTGTACTCCTTACCATCAATATCCGGACAGGGCAGGTAAGGATCGATCCCTGATGGTAAGGAGTCGGGTTTAGCTGGCCCACCACCAATAGTGGCGATGGCCTCTTTGAGCTTGTTGTTCTCCTCCTCCAGCTTGGTCTTTGCATCGTTGTTCGCCTTTTCCTGGGCTATCTTCTCTTCCTTGAGTTTGTTGTTTTCCTCCTCTAGCTTGGCTTTCGCATCATTATTCGTCTTTTCCAGTACTGCCTTCTCTGCGTCGCAAGTGTTTTTCAGGGCCGTTATCTTCTTCTCCCATTCCTGTTTGCTCTCCTGAAGTTTCTTGTCCTTGCTGGCTTTGTCCTCATCGCACTTGGCACTTAAGGTAACCTTCTCTTTCTCACATCTATCTTGAAGCTCCTTCTCCAAGACTACCTTCTCGCTGCTGCAATTCGCCTCTGCCTCCTTGCACTGTTCAGTACCACTCTTTTCGTCGGTTGTCTTTCCTGTTCGCACAAACGTGACCCAGTATTTCGCTGGGCCGTGGGTCAGGAATCCCGGATCTGAAAGCACTAGGCACTGCTTTCTAGTTGCATACCACGTAGAGACCACGCATTCAGGATTCTCAGCACATTGTCTAGCGCAATCTGCAGCAGTTGTAGCTATTGATACCTGTCCTTGTTTTCCCTTAGAGTCTAGAGAATACTCCTGGCAAGTATACTGGTATTCAACACCCTTCACAGACTCCGTCCCGCTAGACTGGCCAGTACAACAGGCGTTGTAGCCTTCTTTACCTGCGGCATTGGATGACAGGCATTTTCCGGAGGCATATGCTGAGCCCACCCAAAACAGGGTAAAAAGAGGCCGTCGGACAAGCATCGATAATCAAGGAATGCGAGCAATGGAAACCCACTGAGCACAAGTACTGAACGGAGAAGAAAGGGACAGGATATCCGGGCTATGTAGACTACACAAACAGTGGACTTATATGGTAAGTACACCTTTATAATGTCCGGAAATTTCCGGCTGTGTCCTTCCCTTCTTTTGTCCACTTTCAATGGATCTAAAAACTACCGAGTCACCTCAGCTCACTTTCAGCTCACCACCACCCATCCAGTCCCCAGTTCACCAATCCGAAGCCGTGCCTGGTGGTTCGGGGAAAAGTAGCTCCCAGAAAAACAACAAAGTGACGGGGCAGATCGGCAGCAATCCACGGCACTATTGAAACCTAAGTGGGGCCCTGCTCACCATTGCGATCTGTAGCTTCTTGAAAACATTTCCATTACCCGAGTCACACTCATATTAACTTGGTCTTGAAGATCAGACGTCCTCTATTTTCTTATAAACAAGGCTTTTTCATTCGATATAATTTGTAATTAAATAACTAAAACTCAAAACGAAGTTTCCAGATTGGAGATATCCAGAAGAAAAAAACAAAAAAGAAAAAAACAAAAAAAAAATCAGGGACCGAAGAGGAATGAGCTCGAAACAGAGGTTTTCAGGCAGATATCTAATAATACTTGTTAAAGAAAACACAGATTTTTCTTTGGATCCGCGATCTCGGTATTTGCGATGAGGTCTTCTTCGGCTTCGAGGGAGCTCGTAAGCATGTCGATCTTCTCATCGATTTCAATATTCTCCTTACGTATCAGCCTTCGGGTCTGAAAATATCTAGTTAGTTACGAGCTGAACTCGATTAACTAAAAGCTGTTTATTCCTCAGTCGGAGATTCAGGACCTCTCTGCGGGACCACGACAACTATGAAAGTGTACTAGCTCGAACCTGCTTGGGACTCTTCGATTTCCACATTGACCCAAGTGGGTGGATGCAGCTACGGCAAAAAGGTGGAGCTGTGCAAAGCAAATGAACGATCTCTTTCAGCTCGCCAAGTAAATGGGGTAAGTGCACGGTCTTGCCCAGTCCTATCTTACGAACCCTCCGTAGATCCTCTCTCCATTTGAGTTGTTGAGAAGCCTTGACTGGAGGAGAAGGAAGTGATATGGCCTGGGTTTGAACACATGGACCAATCACATCTTTAGTGTGTCGCTCTACCAAACTGAGCTATCATGTCTATGGTTGAGAATTAAGCGTACAAAACAGAAAAAGAAAAAAGGTGCAAGAAACTGAAGATAATTTACACATGCTAAAGTACACAGAAAGCCACTTATTCTACCCTAGAATCCATCCAGCATTAAGCACTCTATCAAAATAGTGGAGCTTTCTGGGTCACCTCCGGGGCAGCAATTTCATGATATATCTAGGAAGTTTGTAATAGATTTCCAGTCTGGGAGCAGGTGCAGGTGCCTGCAAGCTTCAACATTCAAACTTCAAAAGGGGAACTACCTGATATGGTCAGAGAAGCGGAGACATAGTCCAACACCGGTTCTAATTCATGATTCATGGAAGATATAGAACAGAATTCCTGGTTACTCATTGATCATACCGGTTTAGAGATCTGAACTACAGTGTTTATCTTCTATCACACTTTATGGGGCTAACACTGGTATTTATATTAAGTGGCAATAAGTATAGTTCAATATTTTAATCTGCATAATCATTTATTCTTGGCGATCAACAACAATTATCTAGACACGTCACCACTATCATAATTAAGCAGGACAGGATAAAGAACCTCCCTCTCAGGTTAGACAATTCTCTACCACCACTGAGATATAGCGCACTGGACCGATATGTTACTAGATTTTCACCAAGGAGGAGAAACGCTGCTTCCGCCTCTATAGAAGGCTGCTTCATGGCGGAGGACTGCTCAGACAGCAGCCTAGGGTATGTTTATAATAAGGCAACCAAAGGCAGCTACTGACAAGCAAAAGAAACAGAGATGCTTTAACTCAGGTAATTTAGCTCTCTCTGCAGCTGATATGGTGACCGATAAAGGTGCAAGTCAAAGTGGCACATCCCATTCTACACGTGGACAGTATTTCTCGTCCTTATACCCCGGTCCCCAACGCCAGTAATGTCAACACAGATGCCAGCAAGGGCTTCAGTGGCAAGAAACCCCAAATTCCGGAAATGATAGATAGTCCTCTGCACTGACCAATTAACAATATAAATAGGAAGATGCAGAAACCAGGAGGAACAGATTAGGATGTATGCTTTTCAGATGTTTGTTTCGGTTTAAGTTCGATACAGGAGAACCTTATATGATAACCATATCAGGTTTGGTAGAAGGAGATCACAAGCTTAGTTACAGCAATTTAGTGGAGTATACCACTATTGTGGTTTCTGCTGGAACAGTTATACAAAGACAGTGAATATATAAAATTGATGCCTCCCAGCAGATCATTCTCAGGGTTTCCACTACGTGTGAAGCTACGCGAGCAGCAGTACCATTCCCCCACTATAATATCTATATTATCACCCAAAAGGCTGAGACAGATAAAGAATACGCCCACTCTTCGCGCTTGCACCGTTCATGGTCAAAAGTTTCCGAGGGTCAAGAGCTTCCGAGGACCAGTTTCGGGAAATCCATATGTTAAAATATAAATTGCGGTAGCTGCTCTCCAAGGTGGTGTACAAGTGATATTAAGCCCTATCGCTGCTGTTCCTAGAACTACCAAGTTTAATGTAATAATTTTCGCTAGCTGAACTCTCGTACATAGGCTCGTAGCATTGCTGTACTACCAAGGCGCATCATCTTCGGTGGCCATTCGATGGGTATCCGAATGAGCCTCGACGAAGTCAACAATATCCTTAAGGGCAGACTTAGGGCCACTCTTATCATTATACTCATCAGTCTGATATCCATATATGAGCCCATCAATACCAGCTTCCCGAAGTAGATACCTCACCATTTCTGTATCACCTTGCGCACTAGTCCAGCTAAACACCTTCCCAAGTTTCCCATGGTCACGCTTCCAACTTCCATACCGAAGCTCTGGATAGATGTCGACCCCTTTCCTAAGCCACGAATCACCGAAATCCATAACCATCTGCTTGACTGGTATACCAGCTCCGGAAATGTTGTACAGATGCAAGATAGTACTCGCCTCCCCACTCAAAACAACGGCTTCGTTCGAGTTCAAACCGTCTCTGATCACCTTGAACCCGCGACTCTCAGCTGTTTCGAAAAAGCCATAAAGTACCCGTATACCTGCTGGTTCAAGTATCTCTCGAGCTAGATCACGCAAGGCTTCGATGGAGCAGGGTCGACCTTTTCGGCAGAAATCGGGATTCTTAATATCCAGCCATACGAAGGAAATGTTGTAATCTTTCGTCCACTGCTTCTGCACGATGAACTTGAACAGTTCGCGTGCTGTAGAGCCAGCACTGAATAGCTTTCCGTCGTGGTCTGCCCACCAGTCGAAGTACCACGCTGTTAGGTCCACTTCTAATGCGTTCGCACCGTGAGAAAGTGCGGCGGTGACTGCTTCTTTTCGTAGGACTCGGTGTGCGATCGCATAAATCGGTCGTTGGTTGGAAGAGGCGACTGCTAGGTTGAGTAAGACGAGGGCTAAAAGAACCCAGATAAGTACCGATATGGATTGCATTATCGACTAGACAAACGAATCATGCATGTAGAGAGGTTGCAAGTGATAAGGCTAAGAGTTGTGGCTGGTCCTTACGTCCAACATCTAGAAGCCTGAAGTCATATAATCTATCTAGCGAGAAATGTACGGTCGATATTCTAACAATGACAGCAAATCTTTCCAGCCACATTATAACCCAACCCCAGAAGGGCGAAAGCCCTCTCTTTGTTAGGTTGCCCGGTCTTAGCCAGGCCATTCTAGGCGAACCTTGTCCATTAATACCGGCATTAAGGTTGTTAAGTCTCTTCCGTCGCTGGTGTCAAACCCCTCCAGGTGCATAAAAACTCCACAATATTTCCTGTTTCGCATACTCGCCTCACTAGGGTCCGATGTGTGGGCTTATGAACTGGTCGTTATCTAAAACTCGCTAGACCTAAACCACTCCCTCTCCGAGACCAATCAATGAGTCGAATAATATCATACCTCTTCTTCCCCTGTTTCATTGCTCTTGTCGTTGGGTTGCAGTAATTTCTCGCAACAATAAATGGATGATTTACTTAAGGCCATACCGACAAGCTGGGGTTATGCTCCATAATCCTCTAGTATGTCAGAGCGGCTAGAGAATGTAATAGCAACACGCAGAGCGTGCGCAGTAGCTAAAGCGTCGCAGGAAGGCTGGAAGAGCCTGGACTAACCGAAAATAGCTAAAAGTCTCCCGAGTCATATGTTATTCCTTCCTCTATCCTGGCTAAGCCCGTGGCATAAAAGGCAAGGCACAGCATCCAACACATTTTGTACTCACGTTGGCAAGTAATTGGCCGAGTCCAGAGTGGCCCATATTAACTACATCGGACCCTTGTTATTACCAATAAAGAGGACATAGGATATCCTCGGGTACATCCCCAACGGTGAAGGAGTTTGAGTCGCCAGGTTTCACAAGCAGCCTTTTGCGTGGGACCCGATCTCAGTACTTTTGTCCCTGGCCATGGGACGTTAGAAAAGTCGAAAGTGTGGGCCCCTCGTGGTTGGATCCTCTTGTAATATATTAAATACAGGTAATATTGTAAAGTTCGTACACAGCAGCGCCTTAGTGCTTGTAAAGGGCCACACTAGCACGCTATATTAAACCATGTCACCAACTCAATACCTCTTGAATATCTGGTATTAACTAGTACGTCTAGGAGGAATCTATCGCAGGATAGTCAGGTTATTTCGTTTTACACAGTACCGAAGTATTTGGATGTCAAATCTATTCTCTCCATAGTAATAAGGACGCTGGTCATCTGTATAGAGCAGGGATCATTAGGCTAGTCTCAGACTAGGGCTATAACCACTTATTCAATAAGGGAACCGCCGATCTCAATCTCCATTAATATACGGTGTAAAGATCTGCGATCACCTATCTTTGGGAGATTATAGACTTATGTCTTATGGTTCTTATCCCGAATTCAGATTGTGACGGTAACTATGATCTGGGGTCTACTGTATCGGTAGACATCGGCTAATTTGCCCTATACCACGTGATTCACCTATCGCCTTACTATGTACGTGTGCTGAGCGATTTTGGTTTCCATATACAGAGTTTACGTTGTAAAGCAAATGTTAAGCTCGATATATTTCCTCAGTAGGAAGGCGTTTGTAGATGCAGGGCATTGGCCATACAAAACGGGCTATTCTATTCATGACCAATGCAATGCGGCGATACGACTATACGGGGTACTATATCCAAGGACCCTGTTACCCTGATTGAGAATTGGTTGCACGATGCATCCGTGCGCCGGTTTAATTTCGATAATTGGGACAGGTTCCAGTAAGTCCTGAAACCAATACGGCGTGTCTGTTGTATCACTGGACGTAAGTGTGGATAGTAGGATTACTCAAATAGAAGGCTATAGCAAGGATATCCTGGTCAACTTGTGAATAGGGTACTCCCAACGATGTAACCCAGCATGTCTGGGCATCGCCACCATTTCACTATGCTGGCACATTACGGAGATGCTGCCGTGTTTCGATGCCTATAGGTATGTGAATCATGTCAATCCCTAAATTGATATATTAGTTGTATCTTAAATCATAGTCCTTGTTGGATAGTGATATCTATCGAGGTAAATTCGAATAGTAGTCTCCCGCCGTCCAATGAAGATGTTCGAACCTCAAATCACATAGTTTTGCAATGGTCTTCCGTAAAAGTTCATGAGGCTGAAACATGCAGGGACTCGGCATCCTCCCGGTATCACAGGAGGTCGAGATATGCTAAACAGTGCCTGAGACCCCTTGACCTTTCGGGATAGAGTGCTGACTGTGAGATACCATTGACATCACTTACGAAAGCAGATTACACCCTAAGCTATTTCTCATCCGAAATGGGAAATGAATACTCTATAAAAATATAGTCCCTCGTGGTACATACAACCGTACATCAGCAGTGGAAATGATTACTGCCATTTGCTTCCAGAAAGGAAGTGCCAGCTATATTGTGCGGAGTTTAGTGCCAGGTCAGGATATTATATGACCCTCACAAAACAGTAACCGGTATTCAGCTATGTATTGGCGTTACCTCTTCCTGGAATATTGTTCCTGGCTT